TACGCATTTCCTGTCTTTTTAGATAACATCTCTCTCCAGCATCCTTATAAGCACGTTTATAGGCGTATCCACGAGCAGATATCATTTTAGAATCGATTCAATTAACCATATTTATCTCCTTAATATACGACTCGAGCCACTTATTGGCCTTATTTTGAGCATAGGTGTCAACCTGTTTATATTTCTCATCATAATCAGTAATTTTCATAATTTTGTCGGTAAATGGTGGTTCATATTTTTTATCATACATAATAAATCGGGCGCAAAATCCATTAATAGTATTTTCGAAGTAATGGGGTAAATCAAATTTCCTATTTAGTTCTTTTGCAACATCCGCGAATTCCATTTGATCAGCCTTTCTTATTGCGAGCTTAAAACCGGATAAATTGAAGATTTATTAGGATGGATTATTACATAACTAAAGCGATCCTTAGGATCAGGAATCTTGCTTTCATATTTTTCTCTCATCCTCTATAAATCGTTGGACACACATTAGGTTTCCATGCATTAGTTTCTATCAACTGGTCAAAATTCCATTGATTGGGATTGGTTACAGCCTCTTTAGAACCTCTTCAACAATCTCATGGAGTGTTCGATTATTGTTAATATCCATCGCACCCCACATTATTCGATTTCCTATAGTTTTTAAAAGTTGGTATTTACCTTGCTTCACCGTATCAAAACCTTTAATGAAAAGTTCTTTTGGCTTGAAGTTTGGAACTTTTTTATGTGGTATTCCGAAATATTTCTTTTTACCTGTAAATACTACTGGGAATAAAACTTCTTCATAAGCCATTTTAAGATACTGTAGGTCGATCTATTCTTTATTCTAAGATATGTATTCACATCGTTGCGTAATTTCTCCATTACTTTCATGGTAATTTTAACCATCTCGGTCTAATATTCCAACTTTGAAATTGTCCTTTACCATTATTATAAGCGAGTTCACATTCTTTATAACATTCAGCAGGACAAGTGAGATACAAAGAATCAGTATCTCCATATTTGATTCCAAAACTTTTCTTCTTAGTTACATACTTAGCAACAAGTTTAATGTTGTATTGCCCTGCCGATGTGACACCACCAGCCAATTGTAGGAAGAAGAATGGGGATAGACTATTACCTGCTTCTCCATAGGAAGTATTCATATATATTTTTACTGCCTTCTGTTTCGAATCTATGCAAGTGTGATCAAAGCAGATGGAATTGTATTCTATTTTAAAATTTTCATAGGTTTCATTGATAAGAGTAGTCAAGATTTAATTCGTTTTTCTTTATCTTCAGCATTTCTTAGAATATGATCAATAGCATCAGTCACTGATAAATTCTTCTCTTTTATTTTACTAATTGCTAATTCCATATACTCTTTTTTTGTTACTAAGTATTCCCAATTGAGTCTTCATTTTATTTTGTTTATTAAGGAGATCTTTTAAAACTGACGGATATAACCCCATTTTATTATTTTTATTTTCATGTCTCATAGATCAGGCATGTAAAATTCGGCCATTAAAAGGAAACTCGATTTTATAGATGTCTCCAACCTTTTCTAATGCACCTGCCTCTTCTGCTAGTAGAGTCATTGTTTCTGGCGAGAGATTATAATTCATAATAATACTTGGATATAACGATGCGAAATCTAAACCTGTAACAGGACGTTTGTTTCTAGACCCTTATTTGTGGAATACATAGGCTCCAGGAAATTTTCCTTTTTCTGTCCGTTCGGAAGAAATCATAGTGATTAATATATCTCTTTTCCACGCTTCAGCACCTAATAGATTACATACCTTCATACCCCCGCATAATAATGTGAATCGAATAAATAAACATATGCAATTGAGGCCACCTCTCTGTAATTATTTATTACGTTTCTCTTAACCATAAGGCTTTGGCAACTAAGAGAATCAACAATGCAATACTTAGCAATTTCACGTATATTTTTAACAGTCTCGGGTGAGGTATTCTCCTTGCTTCATGTGTAATATTCCCTCATAACTTTTATGGTAAATCTATTTTACTATCAAGATCATGCATTTCTAAGAAATACTGTAGTTAAGCAATTTGTTCTCAGATTTTGGATAAAGTTTTTTACAACATACTATTACATCAATTGGGACACAACCGGGAACTTTGAGAAAAGTGGATTTGAAATTTTCTTCTGGGGTGATCTTGATCTCAACTACTTCCCGATTCTTTATCTTTTTGCTATCCTTGTTTTCTTTTTTGGAAGATTCCCCCATTATTGATCTTTATGAAAGAAATCTTTGTAGAAAGGCTCACCTACCCCCCATAATAATTCCAAAGAAGGATGCTATCGATTGTAGCCTTTTTACGCGGATTTGCTGACATTTTTGTTAACATCCAATCCAAAATTTTCTATTGAGTAGCTCTTTCCACAACAAATGGCCAGTCATACTTGGAACCATTAAAAGTGAGTTCGATATCAGGAGCTAAATTTCGCCAACATAAAGCAAATGTTTTTAATAGATTTTTCTCATTTCCACACACGATTGTAATCCAATTTGGGTCCTGTGCACTTTCAACGTCAACAAGGCAGATTTGTTTCAATGGCTTTGGGTCATTTTTCCAGTGAATTGCCATACAAATCATAAATATATTATCTTCTTTATATCAGAAGGGTAGGTTTTATATAATATTGTGGGATCCTTAACACGGTGAAAATTATTAACGGACAAATAAAAAGCATGTCCACAAAGTGGGGAGCGGGCACTATAAGGCATTCTATCATTATTGTATTTGCAATTAGTTAATAAACCCCACCCAGAAAGTGGTATTCTATACTCTCGAGCAACTTTTCGGTAATATGCACTCATATCATCTGAGGAAGTTTCCAGCTTAGGTTCCCGCTTTGCTTCCTCGATTTCCGACCTATGCTTTAGTATAGTATTAATAGCGATTAATCTTTGTTTAGCAGTAGATGTAACAATACGTAGATATGTCTTTTTTTCTGGATGATATCCCTGATCGGAAAAGCCTTCACATGTTCTATTCGGAGCTCTGCAATTTCTACAGTTTCTCCGTCATTTTTTCCTTTAACAAGAATATCCTTTATATTGGACTCAAATAACTTTGTATTCTCATTATTAGGAACACGAATATCGAAGAATACTTTAATTCCTGAAATAGTTACTACAGCTTTTTGACCATTAACGAGATAGCCATAGAGGCGTAAAACATAATGTGGTATATTATTTATATATTCGTTATATTCTTCAATATCAACGGGCATAAATGGAATACTTTTCCCAGTAACTAAATCACTTTTAGTAATCGCTGTTGACCCATAATCTTTATTCTCTTTAACTATACTATTACGACTGGGACGGGTCGGTAAGTAATCTTCTCCATTATAGTAAAATGCGCTTTCCTCCTTACTTTCCGAAATCTGTGATTGAGGAAAAGCTTTGGCCCCCGGTGGTAGAAGGCCCCGTTATTTTCTATTGCGGAGCAGGCCCAAACGGTTGACCCTAAAGGGTCATGCCTCGAAGAGCCTTCCTCTATCTCTGACTCGAAATTTTAGTTATCCACAGCTGGCACATCAGATGATGCGGATACAATAGGCATGTTATGTTCACTTTGGGTACTCATGTTTTTTCTGAAAGTATATTAATCGGAATTAAAAAGTTCAAAATGAAAATTAATTCTAAAGAATATTGATCGGTACATATTATATACTGTACTTAATCGAGATAAACATCAAAAGAATGGCATTTTATCGTTGTCCCTATATCCTTAGAACTGGTGAAGTCTGTAATCGGTCATGTTACCATCCCAATAGGTGCAAAATTCACCGGGATTCACCTATTCGTTATCCTTACAAAGAATATGGTTGTGTTAAGTTAACTAATTCTGGTTATGGTTATTGTGATACTCATGCGCAGAAACATCGTAGAAGAGAGTATAGGCATCAGAAAAAGCTGGAGAAGATGGCAGAAAAAAATACATAGTATGAAGGTATATGTCGGGGGTCGCGTCCAGGCTGACTAGGTAAATTTTACTTGGACGAATTTCCTGGACGAAAAAAGATAGCTGAATGGTGTTTTTGAGTCGGAAGAAAAGGTTTTAGACTAGCCGTCCGAGTTGTCTAGGTTGTCTAGGTAAATTTTCGATTTCTTTACTCTTACATTTTTTATCTATGAGTATAGAGCATATATAGGAATACAAAGGTATACTTTGCATATAAGGGTATACATGAGCTATTATCGTATACCATAGGAAATTTCAGAATTCTATTTTTTACCTAGACTACTTAGACGAAAATAGAACAAGTATAGAAGAACAAGTTAAACCTAAAATAAACGTTTCTCTCCTATAATATTATCCGTCCAAGTTGGCATATTTTTACCTGGACGGAACCTGGACGATTTTTTTTTCTTGGACGCGAGCAGATCGATTTTAACCGCATTCTAGGATAGCATTTGCGCGATATATCTCGCATACATATTTGGTAGCATATACCGATAGTATTTTTGATAACATAACCCGATAACATGTATATAGCATGTCCGGATGGCATTTATTTGATTACTTTTTTGTTTCCGAAAATAATGCCTAAATCACAATCGAAGCGTTATTTTAAATTTGTATTATATTTTGTTATCTAAAGATTTGTATTTTAATATAACAAAAACGCCTACTGAATGTACTTGTTTATTCGGATGTAATCCTGGTGAAATTTGTATAAACGCTTATACAGAACCTGAGGAATGTAGTCATCGGGAAGCCGTAAGAATGGTACCATGTAAAGAATGTGGTATATTAACAGCTTCAATTACTGGAAAACGTCTATCACATTTAAGGGAACGCTATGGTAAATGGTTACGAAGCAATAAACTCCGAGAAAATATACAAGAAAAAAATATGAAGTAATAGAATTTTTCATAGTAACAAAAAATCGGCACACTTTAATATAACATGTCTTGAACCAGATATAGCATTCGTGTGATTAATTTTTTCATTAAATAATCTGTGCGATATATAAAATGAGTTCTCAAGATAATATTAATGGAACTAGCACTGCTAATCCAAATTGGTATAAAATTGAAAATGACGTAAAAACAAAGCTTATAAATTTTCTTCAAAGTAATGAAGAATCAATTTCTTTAGATATAAATAACACTATAGAGTATGCATTTTATTTATATTATTTGAAAAAATACTGCTCACAAATGACGACACATACAGTTTGGGACAAATCTTTTTGCCCTTTTTTATTTCGCAATAAATTGATATTCGTACATACTAACCAATAAT